CATATGGTGATGAACTTTTAATTCTAGCACTTTGGAGGCAGAGATAGGTGGATCTCTGAGTTTGAGACCAGCCTGGTCTCAAAGTAAGACCAGCCTAGTTAGACCTGTCTCAAACACATATGCACACACACACACATATGCACACACACATGTACATATATAGATTTACTTAGTAAAGATGAGATATTTGTTTACTGGAAAGATCATGAATGCCAACCTTAGGTTTACCATTTACCGTGTGTGTGTGTGTGTGTGTGTGTGTGTGTGTGTGTGTGTGTGTGCAGGTGCCTGTGGATGCAAGGAAAGGGTGTCAGATTCCCTCTGGAGCTGAAGTTACATGTGGTTTTAAGGCACCAGACACCTGAAGTCAGTGCTAAGAGCTGAGCTCTAGTCCTCCATAAGGACAGCAAGCACTCTCAGCCACCGGGCTGTCCCCAGATCCTCACCATACGGTTGTTTTTGTTTTGTTTATATTGTTTTGTGTATATGGATGTTGTGCCTCTGTAAGTCTGTGCACAGCACAGTGTGCATATTGTTGCCTATAGAGGTCAGAAGGCATTGAATCCCCTGGAACTGGGGTTATGGAAACTTGTGAGCTCAATGCTGGGAGCTGAGCTGAGGTCCTTTGAAAGAGTTGTCTGTGCTCTCAACTGCTGGGCCATCTGTCTAGCTCCACCACATTATTTTGAACATTTATTGTCTAGTTTTGAAATTTTATATTGCAACCCATTAGTGAACTATGAAATCTATTCAGAAGAATGCAAAACATTGCTTCTAAAAGGGAAATAAAATAAGCCCCAAAGTATGAGAGTGCTGCTGCACACAGATATTATTAGTTCATGAAACTCTCATTTCATATTAAATATGCTCATTTATTTTTGAGTGATCACAGTGTAAAATGCATTGGCGTTTTAAATGAGATTATTTTTAAATGTGTATGTGTGTTTTGCCTGCATGTACTTATGTGTACCATGTCTGTATGGTCCCAGAAGATGGCATCAGATCCTCTGGCACTAGAATGGTTGTGTGCCACAATGTGGATAATGGGAATTGAACTTGGGTCCTTTCCAAGAGCAATGAGTGCTCTTAACCACCGAGCTATCTCTCCAGCTCCAGAATGTACATTTAAAAAGCTAGGTGCAGAACTGGAGAGATGGCTCAGTGGTTAAGAGTTCAGTTCCCAGAACACACATGATGACTCACAAGCATCTGTAATGAGATCTGGTGTCCTCTTCTGGTGTGCAGGCAGACATGCAGGCAGAACACTGTGTGCATAATAAATAAATAAATCTTATAAAAAGAAAGGATGAAAATCCAGGTGCAGTGGTGTTGCTTATAACCCAACACTGGGGAGGCGAAAATCAGAGGGTTCCTGAGATCTCTCAAAAAAATAACAAGCCCCAAGTGTATGGAACCTGAAGGAACACCACCAGAAGTTTTCCTCTACCCTCCACAAGCTTGTGTGTGCGCACACATACACTTGCACACCAGCAAACGCATGCACATACACATAAAAAGAGGTTCATTGGTGAGGAATTTAGAGAATAGTGCAAATATTATACTTCAATGTTGGATACACTTCTCATGGTTTTGCTATTTGAAAATGAGATCTGAATGTAAATGCTTTTCATGGTTTTATGCTTGACACAGAGACTGAAGGGAAGCTAAGAAACCTGCCTGTGATCCCAGCATTCAGGAGATGGGGGTAGGAGGCCAGACTAGGTTACACAGGGAGATCCTGTTTTGTTGAGACAGGGTCTCTTTATGTAACTCTGCCTATCCTAGAACTCACTATGTAGACCAGGCTAGCTTTGAACTCACAAAGCCTCTGCTGGGAAGTCATTATACCCAATTTAAATCCTGTTTTGTTTGTTTGTTTCCCCAAACAAAACAAAATAGGACTAAGGCTTAAAAAATAAAGGAAAAAGGAAATATATAAAAATTAATTTAGTCAAACCTATGGATTTAAAATATTTTAAATTTATTCACTTTTAAAAAATAGACATTTCCAAATAAAACGTCAGCGAAATAATTCACATTGTTTTACAATTTTACAAATCATCTTTATGCCCCACTAAATTTTCATATCTGCTTCTACGTTCAACTTGATGCTGTAGCAACAAATACAACTTTTTCCTATGGATTCTTAGAATGCAAAGATAAATCCATCCCTTTCTTTAGGACAGCACTTCTCAGCCTGCAGGTCATGACCTTTTAGGCAAACTTCTGTCTCCAAAAATAAATGCACTACAATTCATAACAGTAGCAAAATTATAGTAATGAAGTAGCAACAAAAATAACTTGATGGCCGGGGTCACCACCGTGTGGAGAGTCACTGCCATGGGAGCGCGGACCTGACAGGACTAAGACTGATTAAAAATTAGGCCTTTAATCCTAGCTGCTTGGGTGGCTGAAATGCGGTTGCAGGTTCAGTGCCTGCCTGAGCAGCTTATTGAAAACCTAGCTCAAAAAGGGATACAGCCCAGTGGTAGAGCACTTGCTTAGCATGCAAGAGGCTCTAGAGTCAATCTCCAGTACCGTATAAATAAATTAAAATGTCAAAATATAGGTAGGAACAAGGCTGGAATGTGTGTAACACAGAGTAAACAAAGCAAAAACCCCAAACTCTCCAGATAAAAGCAGAAAGACAAAGCTATAAATGCAAAAGCACTTAAACCTCTGAGCCATAGAGCTAAACAGAAAACGTGAAGTATACTTTCTACTTATGACTTATTTCTACGTGATTATGTACATTAAGGAATGGTCTCATTTGGTTAAGAATTTACCACTGACTATAGCTATAAAAAATGCTACCTCTTTTTACATTTATTTGTGTGTGTGCACACGCATGCACGTCTGCTACAGAATGCATACGGAGGTCCGAGAACAGTTTTCAGGAGTCGGTTCTGTCCTTCCACTATATAGGTCAGGGGTCACACTCAGTCATCGTTGGTAGCAAGCCCTTTACCCACTGAGCCATCTCACCAGCTCCAGAAAGTTGCTACCATTGAAATAAAATCCTCAGTTTGAACAGAGATATTCTATCCCTGAAGTCTTGTCTTTCTGCCAATTAAAAAAAAATCCCAGAAGGTTGAGGAGGGGGGATCAATATATATGTAGCCTGGGCCAGACGGTGGTGGTGCACACCTTTAGTCCCAGTACTTGAGAGGCAGAGGCAGTACTCTGTGAGTTTGAGACCAACCTGGTCTACAGTGCAAGTTCCAGGACATCCAGGGCTACATAGAGAAACCCTATCTCAAAGAAAGAAACAAAAAAAGCAAAACTAAAATGTCATAAATAAAACCCATTATTTTGTATACTAAGATGTAACAAATACATTACCAAAATCAGAACACAGCTCACCCATGCAGGGTGGTGCACAGCACTGGGGAGGCAGATGAAGATCAATTTCTATGAGCTGAGAGCTGAGACTGTCCTGGTCTACATGGTGAGTTCCAGGCCATGCAGTGCTACATAGCGAGACCTATCTTTAAATTTTTTTCCTGCCAGGCCTATAATACTAGCATTTGGAAGGCTGAGTTGATGCAAGTTTAGAGTCAACCTGGGTTACATAGTTAAAGACTAACCTGGGCTCTAGTGAGACCCCATTTCAGAAAGCAAGCACAAATGAACACAAACCCTACTATTAGAACTGTTTTGGTTTTTTTTTTTTTTTTACAGATTTATTTATTTATTATATACACAGTGTTCAGCTTCCATGTATGCCTATGCCTGCAGGCCAGAAGAGGGCACCAGATCTCATTACAGATGGTTTGTGAGCCACCATGTGGTTGCTGGAGTTTGAACTCAGGACCTCTGGAAGAGCAGTCAGTGCCTTTAACCTCTGAGCCATCTCTCCAGCCCCAAACCCTACTATTAAAAGGGCTTTCAGCCAGGCAGTGATTGTGTACACCTTTAATCCCAGCATTTGGGAGGCAGAGGCAGGTGGATGTCTATGAGTTTGCAGCCAGCCTGGTCTACAAATCGAGTTCCAGGACAGCTAGAGATACACAGAGAAACCCTGTCTTGAAAAACAACAAAAACCAAAAGGGGTTTTCATCCTCATTTTGTATTGTTTGTTTTAATATGTCCAGCCTGTCATCTCTTTGTACAATATTTAAAGACTAGTTTTAGCCCAGCATGATGGCACATCCTTTAATCCAAGCATGTAGGTGGCCAAGACTGTCTAATCTCTGAGTTTGGGGCCAGCCTGGTCTACATAGTTCCAGGATAGCCAGGGTTATGTCTCCAGAAGCCAAATAAAATAAAGACTAGTTTTCCGGCCCCATGGAATCCTAGTCTTTAAGGAATGTGTAACAGTTTAAACTCTAGGCCACCACAGGCTCACCAACCTCTTGAGCTGATGATAGGAAGCTTCCGAGCACTGTGGGTCCTGACAGGAGGAATGGTGATGACCCACCACAGTGATAGCGGTAAAGTGTCTCCGGTACCCTGCTGCTCTTTGATTCCCTTCCATTTCTGTGCTCCCCCTTTAGCCTCGTCCTGTTCTCTTGACCTGAAAAAATTCCCATCTCTATTGTTCAGCATATAATTTTTTTACTCTCAGAATGCTCTTTCTTTTTTAATCACACTGGATACTATCTAATATCTCTCCTAAGTTCTGCCTTGCAGTAGTCCTAAGAGCCTTCCATTCGTTCACCATGCCCTATGTGGCCAGGCCTTCGTGCCAGTTTAACAAGATTCTTCCCTTGGTCTACAGCAAGTAAGAATTCCATTTGTTCCACTTTTGTACCTGCTGTAGGTTGAGCAGGCATTTCAAGCTACAACTCTAATTTTATCTGTATGAATGTTTTGCCTCCATGTATGTATGTATGTATGTATGTATCTGGTGCCCAAAGGGATCAGAAGAAGGTATTGAACCCCTTGGAAGTGGGGTTACGGATGGTTATGAGCCACCTGTGGGTGCTGAGAATTGAGCCCGGGTTGGTCCTCTGAAGAGTAACAAGCGGTCTAAACCATGAGCCATCGTTCCAGCCCCCTCGAGATACAGCTCTTTATTTGCCTCTCAATTAAATACTGAAGCTGGGGCATTCATCACTTGTATTAATGTTCCAGTAACAGACATGTAGTACTATAGTACTTTCTTGATATTCTCCAACCCCCCAACCAATGGAAAATGTTATTACATCATATATTGTTGCTACTATATTGTTATAATAATATTGTCATTATTATACAGAAGCTGAAGTTTAGTCTAGAATGGGGACATGTGGATAGATTCCTAGCTACTCCACAGGCCAGTGGCTTAAACCAAGGACTATAACAGCAGCCTGGGAAAAATAGACTGTTTCTAAAAAGGGAAAAGGTGTTGGGAGGGGGCGGGTAAAGAAAGAAAGAAAGAAAACTGAATGATCTAAATTCAGCTTGTAAGTACAGTGAAGATGGCATCCAAGTTCTAGTTCAACCAGCTTCCATCAGGATATTAAGATCCTTCCCCTACAATGGGCCTTAGATACTAAGAAAAGTCTAGAAAGGCACTGGGGCAGTTCTGAGGAAGGGGAGAACTTTCAATAATGTTCAACAAACAAATATCACAAACCCAACACCAGAAGCCTGTCTCCAGGGCCTGCTTATGTCTGTTTAGTCTCAAATGATTTGGTTTGGTTTGGAAAAGGTAGTATGTCCTCTAAGCTTTTGTCGTTTCACTCGCCTCTCCTAACCGGGCTTGTCCAGTCTCCGTTTGAGGTCTAGGCAGCTGGACGCTGGAGGCCAAAGGCTACCCAAGCTGGGGGTGACCTCGGAAGCAGAACCTTGGCCCAGAGTACAGCTGCTAACGGTGAAAGACTGAGGCGGTTGGACTGCGCCATTCCTGAAGCTACAGGGGCATACTCTTGGCATCGTCCTTAAAGATGAGTAGGAAAAGGAAAGTGAGGGTTACTGTCCTCTCTGGTCCCTTCTCTTTCTCATTCAGCATGGGTCCCGCCGGCTGATTTACGAAGGGAATCCTGTAAGATAAGGAGAAGGAGGAAAAAACCACTGATGGCAATTGCAGTAACTCAGTGGCTTATACAAAGGAATTATTTACATATAATTTGCATGTTGGCGTACTTGTGGAAGTACGTAAAACTTCAGTCCATTCCCATTCCGTCGTGTATCCAGCCTTCAGTATTTCCCTCTCGGCTTCCTTAGTAAAGCCTGCCTCTTAGGTCCGCCCTCAAGCACAGGGCCCGCCTTCCACGGGTAAGCTCCTCCCTGCTCCCCCGCCCCTTCCCCAGCTTCCAAATAGCTCTTCCCCGCCCCCTTTTTATTTCTGAACAGGCGTGACTCGGGCAGCTCACTGCTCTCCGATTACTATGGGATCGGTAGTGTCCTGACAGTCCACGAAGCAGGAAGGCAAATCTCGGGAAGAGGGGCTCTGGCCCAGGAGACTCTGACATCGAAGCCCGCAGAGGAGTTGTTATTTCGGGTCCTGCGTGTGAGGTCCGGGCCAACTTGCGGCAGCGTGAAGGCCCCTTCAGGCGGAGCCGCGGGCAGCCCCGCAGCCGGGGCCTGGTGCAGCCGCCGCGGCCGCTGTCAGGGAAGCACGGGCGGCCAATGGAACCCGGGAGCGGCCGCTGCTGCTGAGGCGGCGGTGTCGGCAGTCCGACCCCGACCGCCTGCACCCTCTCCGCGAGGGTCCCCGGGAGGTAAGCGGCTCCTCCGGCATGAGTCGCCTTTGCCGGGCGGGGGGGGGGGGTTCCTTCTGCCACCCTGTCCCGCACCGCCTACCGCGACCTGGGTTCGACTACAAAACTGCCCTCCTGGTGGGAGCTGCACCCTGAGGTCCTTCACCCTTTCCCCTCGGACCCAGGGTCGTTTTCTCTGCTTTCTGGTTTCCTCTTCTGTTTAGCCCCTCCCTCTGCCCCGTGGATTCCACCTCCCCCCACACCACACACTTACTACCCCTGTTGCCTCTGTCCCTCTAAGCCGTGAACCTTTTCCACATTAGACCCCTTCTACAATGTCCATCCTTGTTTGCCCTTTCTCGCCGTTTGTGTTTCTGCTCCCTAACCTTTTCCATGGACTCCGCCTTTATCCCTTTTCCTATTTTCCCCAACTCCTCCGTAAGTCTGTGCAACCTCAGCACAGAGTTCCCATTTCCCTCAGCTAAAGATCGTATCCCTCTCTTCTGCTCTGATTCCATTATCTCACCATGACCCACTCCTCCAGCTCCTGGCTTCCAAGAATTGCCTGTTGCCTTCTTAAAGGATCTCAGACTGTTGTTATCATGCCCAAGACCCCATCTACTTTGACCTTAGTGCTTAACCCTTGTCTGCGGTTCCTGATGATACCTGTCCCTGTAGGAGAAAGTTCTGCTGTGAACACCCCTTCGGATTAGTGATTTCCAACTTTTCACACACACATACACACAACCCCTGTTTCCAGGATTTTGCCGATCTTTGTCTCCCTCGGTTGTCGTCCCTGTGGTAACTTTAAGTGTTCTCTATCACACTTTTTATCTCCCACACATCACTATTTCAGATCTGTTAAACCTTGAACGAAGAAGACAATGTGTTGGGAGGAGGGGAGCCTCTGCTGTCTCGAGCTTTTCTGGACAGATGTGTGTTTCTGAAGGATGGAGCAGCTTTTAAAGAAGTCCCGGTCAATCACGTTACATTTCGTTGACTGTTCAGAGGCAACCACTAGGAGGGATGATCAGGCCTCCATGGAAACTGAATGCGGTTGTGAGAAATTGTGCTTCAGGTTATTTATTTGGGACTTTGTTAGGTCACAGGATAGGATCTCCTACTCCCCTCCAGACAGAAGCACAGTGGAATAATGGTGGCTAGTTTCACAAGCACTTGGACCTAAGGGGTGAAGTTGTGTGTATCTGGGAAAAGAAACATGAGATGATGTGAAGAGCTGGCGTGTTCGCAATCAGGACCCTTGGTTCAGCATGCAACTTCCTCACTTGAAGCCAAGAATGCTCTTTTGAGAAAAATGGCTATTCTGTAAGCAGTATTGCAGTAATAAGCTAGTAGTAGGATGTCTGCTGGGGGAAGAATTATACTTTTTTAATTTATAAAACTGCAGGTTCTCAGGCAAAAGGAATTTATTGCTAGTGATTTTATCATTTTGAAAATTTCCATCTATTTTGCTATTTTGATTTCTCTGGTTTCTGACCATGAGCATAAAGTTAGTTTGACACAGAGACTCCTGGCCTGCCTTTTTCTCTCCTACCACCTGATCCGTAACCCCAGATTCTATTGTCAGAAAATGTGTTTCCGGAAGAGCTCTTGGGGAAGCGGGAGCATGCTGGACTCAGCAGCTAACTAGATGCTGCTTTGTCTTCCACACTTCTCTCGGCCTGAGACAGTGAGGAAGGCGCAGGTACTCCAGTTACACAAGCTGGTGAACGTCTTTAATCCCAGCACTTGGGAGGCAGAATTCGGATCTCTGAGTTCGAGGTCAGCCTGGTCTACAAATGGATGGAGTTCTAGGACAGCCAGAATTGTTACATAGAGAACCGCTGTCTCAAATTGCCCCCCAACCAAAAAAAAAAAGAAAAAGAAAGAAAGAAAATAGTTATGCCAATTTGACCCACTTCTTATTTGAAGTTACTCAGAGTACAATCTAGTAATCTGTTTATGAGAGACCTTCCCTCCTTAGATGCACCCTTAACCAAAAATGATGTCCCTAGTTGTCCTTGCTTCTCATCTGGGGCCACACTGCATAAGAACGTCTGCTGAACACTAAGGTAGCAAACTGAGCTGCTTTGGTTTGGGGAAGAGGTTTGGGAGGATCCCTTCAGTAATCAGCGTGGGACAAAGAGAGCCTAGACGAAGCACAACTAGACTTGGACAGGGAGGACTAGTTCAGAGAAAGGTGAGCTGTACAGGTTGCTGTCTTTGCCCTCTGCCAGTCTCATCAGGCTCTTGCAGCAGGCTTGGGCTGTCTGGCTGGAATCTGCTTATACCTGCTTCATGGCCTTGCACTGAGTTCTCAGCTTGATCAATATTGACCTAACTACTGTAAGACCACTGCCCTTCCCCCAAGGCTGTAGCTGAGAATGAATGCCCTCTTCCCTGATGCCACCATTCTTTGAGACCTTGGGCAAGCATACTTGGTTCCTGGTGGGGCTTGAGCTTGCTAGACTGCTCAGTCCAGAGTCCCTACAGGGAAAAATGTAGAAATCATTCTTCCTTTACCATTAAGGTCAAAGGGGAAAGATGAGTTGAGTTCTTAAAGATTTGTAATAGGCCTTAAATGAAAGGAACTTCTTTTTTAAGGAAAAATTTTATGTGTATGGATGTTTTGCCTGCCTGTATGTCCATGGGCCACAGATGTGCCTATGCCTGCAAAGACCAGAAGAGGATATTTGTTCCCTTGGAACTGGGGTTAAAGATGTTTGTAGGCCACCAGGTGGGTGCTGGGAATTGAACCTAGGTCCTGTGGAAGAGCAGGTAGTGATCATAACTGCTGAGCCATCTCTCCAGCCCCAGCAAGGAACTTAAACAGCAAAACAAGCAGTCTAGGATGATAGAGAGTCCCTTATGAAGAGCAGCTTATTTTTAAAAATTGTTGTTAAAGTACATGTACTTGAAATTGAAATGAATGAAATGTATGCCCTGGCAATGCTGAAGCCTGCATGGGCAGCCTGTATATGGCAGTTCTGTTGAACTTGTCCATATTGGGTTTCATGGTCTAAGTTGATGAGGGCAGCAGACCAGGTCTCTTCCTCAAGAGGGCACCAGATCTCGTTACAAATGGCTGTGAGCCATCATGTGGTTGCTGGGAACTCAGGACTTTGGAAAAGCAGACAGTGCTCTTAATCACTGAGCCATCTCTCCAGGCTTTGGTAATATTCAGTAGTATTGTAGGAATTCATGATTAAAACTAACAGCCCCTTTCCCTTCATCTGTACTTATACTCCCTCAAATCAGAGCTAGCCTCTTTAATTATCTCAGTATAAAGTTCTATCCAAAGCTTATTACCATAGCTTCTCTTAAATGCTTGTTTCTTGACCCTTTGTTGCAAAAGAGAGTTTGAGTATAGAGGATTCATACTTGTTTAGGTAATTATGACATTATTCTTATTTCCATCTGAGCCTTTCTTTTCCATTAACATGGTTTTGCTGGGAATTGAAAGTCAGAGCCTTGCTCTTGTTAGGTAAATCCTCTACCATTGCACTGGACCCTTGGTGCACGACACCCTTAACCACCTTTTCCATAAACTTTACCTGCACCTCATACTGTGACATGCTGGCTCCTTTATCTTTGTTTCCACTTCTTGTGACTCATCTCACAGGATCCTTCAAAGAAAGGAAAGTGAGCTGGCCTGCCTGCTTGGAAGAGCCCTAGGTCAGATGATTCCTAAGACGTCATTCTGTGTGCCAGGCATGGTGACACACACCTTTAATCCCAGCACTTGGGAGGCAAAGGCAGGTGGATCTCTGTGACCAGCCTGGTCTACAAGAGCTAGTTCCAGGACAGCCAAAGCTGTTACACAGAGAAGAAACTCTGTCTCAAACAAAACAAAACAAGTCGTTCTGTGAAAATGCAGGAGCATGTTAAAGCATCAGGATTGGTGTGAAACAGTTCATATTTATCATGCTTGGTAAAAGATTTGGAGAAGTAATAATGGTGATTGGGTAAGGGTGTTGATTTGGGACGCTACTGTCTTTCCTGAAAGTTCAGTCCAGTCTAGTAAGTCTTTTCATGAAGACTGTTTTCATAAAATTCTGTGTAGGTGACTTTGCTTGCACAGAATTTTTGAGGGGCTCAGTTGAAGAGAGCCTGGTTAAAGAGATAACATTCCCTCCTGAGTCCTCTGTAGACATAACTGCTCAGGCCCACAAAACACATGTGGCCACCTCTGCTCTGCAGAAACTGCTCTATACTACCGTAACCTGGATCGACCCTGATTCTCAGACTTTCTCTGCTATATTAGGTGTTTTTCTCATTGCTACCACAAAACACCTGACAAGAGCAACTTGAGAGTGTTTTGGCTTACAGTCCATCACAGTGGGCAGAGCGTGATGGCAGGAGTGAGAGGCAGCTGGTAACTTTGCTTCTGCAGTAAGGCCCGAGAGAGCCTTACCGTCTCCTTTAATTCAGTCTGGGCCCCCACCCCATGGATTGGAGCCTCCAGTATTTTGGGTTTTCCCACCTCAGTCAACCTAGTCTAGACAATTCCTCACAGACATGCATACAGAGCGTTGTTTCCATGGTGACTCTAAA